TCGAGAGGAGAGGAAGATTATCGAAAGGAGGAGAGTTTGGCCAAAAAGAAGAGAGTTGGCCGAGAGCCAAATCAAGAGGAAGAAAGAGGAAGAGAAGGCTATTTTGGTCGAGAGTTTGAACAAGGAAGAGAGATGAGATTTTAAGGTGATTTCTACTTCAATCAAACCTAAGTTTAGTGTAACTTCAACTCACCACAAGACTTAGGGTTTATATGTGTTGATTTGGTAATATGTGTTCATATGAAACTTAATATTTCTATTTATGGAATTGAGTGAATTATGTTCGATTGATGCCTAGGTTATAAAATTGACGAATGATTGACCAAGTCGATGTCATGTAACGTATTTAATTGTTGATTGAATGAGTATAATGATGTGTTCATATAAACCTAGAGATTTTAAGGTTTGGATTAGTTGTTAAAAGATGACTTTACATTATGATGCTATTGTTTAAACAATTAATTAAAGATTTACCATTGAATTAATGATGAGTATGCGTTTAATTGTTGATTTAGCATGGGTAATGTGGCGATCACGTGAGACTTAAAAATTCTTAGGTTTGGTCTATGGGATTAATTATTGGTTAACCTTAATTGATGAATATACATAATTATGGTGATTGGTATATATGGATTGATGATTGTACATTTGAGCATGTTTAATTGATGATGGTTTAATTGTGTTGGGTGACTTTTAGATGGATTTAACTTAGGCTTATTGATTTAGTGTTTGTGTTATTAGTTGATGAATGTTGTTGTTACTTGGTTTTGATGATTGAATTACTTATGGGAAAGCATGGTGAATTCGACCATGTTTGATTAATGAAATGATTTTATATTTTTGCATAAATTGAACACTTAAGGAATGTTTGTTGTGATTCGGTTTTAGGTTTGTGGATTGGATGGTTGTGAGGAAACTTGATGGATTTGGCCTAAGTGTATACTTGTTGTAATTTGATTTTGTTTGTGGTTAATTAATTTAGAAGGTTAAATAATCGAATAGTTGTGTTGATGTAGGATGACTTGGCTTGTTGATTGAGTAACCATGTAATTGTTTGGTGGATTTGGTTTGATTATAGTTTTTTGGTTTGGTTGGTTGAATAATTGGATGATTTTGGATTAGGTAACTATTTGATGTTTCTTAATCATGTGTTGAGGTGTTTAAATGATATTTGAATGATGTAGATGTTTTTTGATGGTTCGACCTAGTTAGGTTTAATTGAAGATTTTATGCTTGTGATGCCATGTGATGGATTCGACCTATGGTTATGGATTTGTTTAAGGTTGTTATGGCTTGATGGATTTGGATTAGGTGATTAATTAAGGTAGCTTGGATTATGTTGATTGTTGGTTTTGGCTTGATGTTGGAAGGTTACATGCTTATGGTGCCATGTGAGGGATTTAGTTTTATGCTATTTTTTAATTATGTTCATGAATAGCTTAAATGTTTATACTTGGTGTTCATGAGATGGTTTTACATAATTTATGTACATGTAATGGCTTAGTGTATGCATTCTAATTGTATTCACATCATTAATTATTTTATGTTGTGACTTTAAGCAATCAAGAAATGACTTAAACATAGTTTTATGAGGACATGAATTATAGCTAGACATGTTCAAGAGGTACAAGGGGAATGATCAACCATTTATGAGATTCATTAAATCAAATATGTCCGAGAGACCTTATGGCTTTTCATGATGACGAGTTTTAAAAGAGAGATAAATTTATTTACATTTAGCAAGTTATACCCAAAAGACAAAAAAGAATTTTAAGCATGATAATGATGTTTTCATTACATTTATGTATAGTTGCACTTATTGAGCTTTAGCTCATTTTGTTTATCTTGTAGTATAGGTGAGCAAAGCAATGCTTGATGATCATTTAGATGTACTGAAGATGCTGATCGTGAGCTACGAGTTTGCTAAATTGTGTACTATAGGTCTAGATTTAGCATATTTAACGTTTGAATGCTAAATCATTTTTAGGTTTCGACCAATTTTTGGTATTGTCTAGATTCGATCATTTTGGATTGTAAATGATAGACTTTGGTCATTTTGGATGTGTTAACACACACACACACACACACACACACACACACACACACAAAGATTGATAAAATTAAAAAAAAGTATGAAAGGTTATGTCATTTGTTGGATATGTTGATTCATTAATTAAAATATGAATAGATTGATGTTTATGAATGGTTTAGGTTGAATGAAATGGTTTAGGTTTATGCAACTTGTTAGTTTAATCCAATGATAGAAATGAAATGATCTAGGTTATGTAATTGTGCATTTGTTCGAAATTTGTTAGACTTAAGCATCCAATTTTAGGAAGTCTTGAACTTTAAATTGAATGAGAATTTCGTTGTGCATTGCGATGGAGATTCGGGATAGAGGACATAATGCATTGTCTTGCACCCTCGAATACTAGATAGTGTAATAGCACTCTTTACCTCTTTGTTGGACCGCGATCGTTACAAACCATTCCATAAAAGTTTGTGTGATTTGAATTTGAATTTTATTTTTTGTAAGGCTTAAGGATCATATTTCATAGCACACAAATTTAGAACTTAATTTGAAAACCATATTTTGGTTCAAATGTTTTTTGGCAAAAAAGACTTTTTGAATGGAGTGAAAGAACTCGGGGTAATCATGTTAAACATTATTGCCTTGGTTATTTATGGAGGCAATCTTTGCTCGAATGGAGGCATGGGCTTCTTGCCTTATATCGAGTATATGGCAAGACTTCTATTATTCTTCCGTTTAAAATATATATTTTTATCGTACATTGAGAAGGATGAAGATCCCAAATCAAACTCTTCATGAGATTCTTAGTTGCATTACTTATAGCTTTCTTGTTCCAAAAAACATGTGACTTGAATTTTTAGTTTCGCTTTTTTTCATCTCTACTTTTTTTTGCCTAAATCTTTCAATCAACTCGTTGAGACAAGTTCTTCTTTCTTTTACTAGTTCGGTCGGGATCCCATTAATAAATAGACTTGGGCTAATTTATTGCATTTTGATATTATCGATCGATTTGTTTTTATATGTAGAAATCTTATGAAGTAGGGTAAGGAACAACAAACTTCTTTATGATAAACGGATCTATTTTGCAAATTCATCACTCGAAAGAAAAAAGAAAAGACATTTTCTACAAGCTCGAACCATTGGAATGGCTAGATCGATTTTATCGGTTCTCGAAGTATATTAGAAGATAAAAAATTATAAAAACATTTTAAGATATGAGATGAGATATGAAAAAAATATCTAGCATTGAAAAAGATGCGTGGAGTAGAGCAATTATGTTAGCTCGGAAGGCTCATAACTCGGGAGTGTTGCTTTTTGCTTCACTCGTTGATCGTTCTCCAGCTTTGGAAAGAATTATAAATGAGTCATCCTTAGAGGAACTTTTCAAATGACTATACCAAGGGATGATATTGGACGTAATATGAAAACGGCTCTTACTCTATCTAACTCAATAAATACCCATTAAAAATATCTAATGAATATTAAAATAGAAAAAAATAGAAAAAAAATATATGCTAATATGCTTTTTGGCTACGAGTATTCATTTCATGCTCCATTAATACTCACTATTTTTTTTATAAAAAAAATTAACATGTAAGAACTTAATTATACGAACTTTATAAAATAAAAAGAAAAATGTTTTTTATGAAACTTTTAAGGAAAAAAATCTTATAGATAAAGGATCAAATTGTGAAAAATATATTAGTTTTGAAAACCAAAATAAATTGTTTGAAAAATACATGGACTAAAATGATTTTTTTGACAAGTAATAAATTGATATTAAATAGAAAAATAAACTATGCATGATTTTAAATGATAATTTCTTAATAGATACAGATAAAATATTTTTAATGAATATAATAAAAAATAAATTTATTAATTTATTTCGAGCAAACTCCAACTCCATCTCTTATTTCGAGCAGAATTACGGTAGGATAGGTTGTTCCCCGTTGTGATTGGTTCAAGGAAATTTATTAATTTTTTTGCGTTAATCCTTTAGGACGTGTTTTCATTGGTTCTTTTAAAAGTAGTGATTTAAAAGAATAGAAAAAAAGTTGGGTATCAACCAGACAAAGTCTTTCATTGCCGAGACCCACACTGGCTGTAAATTGGAAGTATTTGGGATTGGAGATGGATACAGAAAAAATCCGGCAGGACCTATCCATTGCCGAGCAGTCCGTGACAGGTTAAAGCAGAAGCAACGCATCAAACAGCTTTAAAAAAGGACAACCTTTTCGCACGTGTCTTCACATTACCGAAATGATCAGGCCAATTGCAAGTAAGACGCGTACTGTATCACAGCCTTGTCGCTTTATCTTCCACATCTAGAAATGTCCTTTGACTGGTTATAGATTTCATACGAGCGGTTGGTGCTAATATCACGCCACGTGTAAAAGATGACGACCCACTTCTGTCCACCTACTGTTCTTGCACGTTGGTTTGGTCCCACAAAAGCCCACTATTACTACAATATCGGAGTTGTCATTGGCTATGGGGAAAGTCTACAGTCTTACCGGTAGTGGCCGGTGACACTTTCTTTTTGGTACTGATATTTTCAGGACCAAAATAGGTAAAGAAGATATATAGTAAAAAGGTAATCGTCGTCCTCCTTTTATGAAGGGAAACGCTTTTGCTAGTCAGTCAGCGCCTCTCTTAATGTTATCCTTCCTTTCTTACTAGGGTTCACTCTGTCTCTCAGGTATGTCGAATTCTCACTTTTACTTTTTCATTTTCTGCCTCTGAGTTCAATTTTTCATGTTCATTTAAGATCGTTAGCTGAAATTTTGGATCCTGTTTGTAATTTATTAATGTTTGTTTCTTTGTGGGGGGTTTTGGTGTTTTTCTGATTGTTAGTTTTAAGTAATGAAAAAAAGATTGTAACTTCATGTGTTTAAAGAGCTTAAAAAAGTTCAGCTTCTGTCAGTTAAATTTTGGATATTGATTCAGTTGATTTGGGGTTTGATAATAGATGGGTTCGGATTCTCGTTTCACTGAATTCCCTGGTTCTAACAAATTTGAGGATAAGTTCGTGTTTTCGGATTCGAATCAGCATCAAAATGTTACCAATGGATTCAAGCTTGAAGATTTAGATTTCGACTTAGTAGAAAATCCACTTGTTTTGCCTGACCCGGATCCGGGTAACTCTGCTTTGTCTTCGATCATGAGCATCGATGGAGACTCTCCCTCTGATGATAATGACTCGGAGAATCTCCTCAAGTACATAAGCCAGATGCTTATGGAAGAGGACATGGAAGAGAAGCCCTGTATGTTTCATGACCCGTTGGCTCTTCAAGCTGCTGAGAGATCACTGTATGATATTCTTGGTGAGAAGAACCTGCCCTCCTCACCCCATGAATCTCCTTCTTATGGTGACCAATTTTTGGTTGATAGCCCGGATGATAGTTTTTGGAGTAGCCGCAGTGATTATAGTAGCAATAGCAGTTCTACTTCTAATGCTGCCAGTTCGGTTGATCCTCAATGGAATGGTGAATCTGGGGAATTCAAACCATCATTTATGCAAAGGCCTCTTTCTACTAATTTTGTTTTCCAGTCTGCTGCAAAATCCAGTTCACAATCATCTTTCAAACTACACAATGGGTTAGCAAGTAATGGTGATAGTGCCATGAAGCCCTCTGTGGGCAACATTGTGGTACCAAATATTTTCACTGACAGTGATTTGGCATTACAGTTCAAGAGAGGTGTAGAGGAAGCCAGCAAGTTTCTTCCTAAGGGAAATCCACTGGTCATTGATTTGGAGACCAGTTCTTTGGCTCCAGAGATGAACAGAAATGCCCCTAAGGTGGCAGTGAAGGCTGAGAAGGAAGACAGGGAGTATTTGACTGAATGGTTGACAGGAAAGAAGAACCATGAGCGGGAGGATGGAGATTTTGAGGAAGAAAGAAGTAACAAGCAGTCTGCAGTTTACGTAGATGAGGGCGAACTGTCAGAGATGTTTGATATGTTAGTAGGAGTGGGGGATGGATGCCGGCCTCCTGAGTGTATACTTGATCAGACTGAACAGTGCGAGCCAAGCAAAACATTGCGGCAGAATGGGCAAACAAAGGGATCTAATGGTAGCAAGGCTCGCGCTACGAGACAAGGAAATAACAAGGAAGTTGTTGATTTGAGGACTCTTCTAATTCAATGTGCACAAGCAGTCTCCGTGAATGATTGCAGAATTGCTAATGAGCTGCTGAAGCAGATCAGGCAGCACTCTTCACCTCTAGGTGATGGGTCTCAGAGGTTGGCTCATTGGTTTGCTAATGGCCTTGAAGCACGTTTGGCTGGAACTGGTACCCAGATATACACGGCTCTGTCTGCCAAAGAAACATCAGCTGTGGATGTGTTGAAAGCTTATCAAGCTTACATTTCAGCTTGCCCATTTAAGAAGATGGCTATTATCTTTGCAAACCATAATATTCTGAACGTGGCCGAGAAGGCAAAGACACTTCATATAATAGATTTTGGGATATTGTATGGTTTCCAGTGGCCTGCCCTCATCTATCGCCTTGCAAGGAGACCCGGTGGGCCTCCCAAACTGCGTATTACAGGAATAGAGCTTCCCCAAAGTGGTTTCCGGCCAGCAGAAAGGGTTCAAGAGACAGGTCACCGCTTGGCAAAGTATTGTGAGCGCCATAATGTTCCATTTGAGTACATTGCCATAGCTCAGAAATGGGATACCATCCAAATTGATGACCTGAAGATCAATCACAATGAAGCTCTTGCTGTAAACTGTCTCTTTAGGTTTAAAAATCTGCTTGATGAGACAGTTGTAGTTAACAGTCCCCGGGATGCTGTTCTAAACTTAATCAGCAAGACAAAACCAGATATATTTGTCCATGCTATTGTCAATGGTTCGTACAATGCTCCTTTTTTTGTCACAAGGTTCAGGGAGGCACTGTTCCAGTTCTCTGCTTTGTTTGATATGTTAGATACTACTATGCACCTTGAAGATAAGATGAGGTTGAAGTTTGAAAAAGAGTTCTATGGTCGGGAGGCTATGAATGTCATAGCGTGTGAGGGCTCTGAGAGGGTCGAGAGACCTGAGACATACAAGCAATGGCAGGTCCGGAACACGAGAGCTGGCCTGAAGCAGCTTCCCTTAAACCCTCTTGTCATTAAGAAATTAAAGTGTAAGGTGAAGGCTGGGTACCATGAAGATTTTGTGGTCGATGAAGATGGCCACTGGATGCTGCAGGGATGGAAGGGACGGATTGTCAATGCATCCTCTGCCTGGATTCCTGCATAGGAATGAGAAGGCTTGTTTCTGAGAGCTCACTTCCAAAAGTTGGCACACCAGGGTTTTTCATTGTTAAAGCAGTCTATGTCAGCATATTCTAGTTGCCAATTAGGTTTGCAGCACACTACACCCTACTGTCCGTGAAGCTTCCCTGTTAGTATTTATTGTGTTATACTGTGACACATAATTTTCTTGTATATAACAATCCTCCCTGAAACCTAAAATGAATGCGAGTTTGATAGCAACTGGTAGCTTTATCTGATTGTTCTCTAGTACTTTTAACTCAATAGATGGTGTACTGACATGGTCATTTAGCCAAAGATTTTGCAGTTTGATGTTATCTTGTGTTTGAAGGCATTTTCTTGTACTTTGTTTCTGTAGCGCATTGCCTTAAAAAATGTCTTATTGTTACCCAAAGATTGGAGCTAGATTGCGCATTTTCTTTGAAGGCATTTCCATAAAATCCAGTTAATGGATTTGGATCAGTTTGCTGGTGATTAATGTTTTGCTATCTGTTAGAACTCGGCTGTGTTTACTGCCCAAAATTCAGGAACTTAGGGGTCATAAGAGCCCCAGTTAATTAATCCTTAGGGCTATTTAGCAAGCTATGTACCCATAATAAGCGTTCTATTTTGCTATTTTCCTTCAGTTACTTTGACAAGGCTATCACTAATGAATGAGTAGTTGTCAATGGTAGCTAAACACCTAATCGGATAGACGGCTTTATAGTATATTAATTCACAGTATTGGCTGGCTTGACTGCTAAATAAACATTGATCGGTCGCTATTTAAGTCAAAAAATAAAGATACAGAATTAATACCAATGGTCCTACGTATCATGACCGATAGCTAAACTTAACTCGGATATATGGATTGCATTCAATGTATCAGCGAAAGTGGGAAGCATTGACGTGAGGTCTTGTATAGTTTAATCAACTTATTGTTGCTTTCATCTTTGAACATTCCAAGGTAAAATTAGAAAATGCTTGAAAGATGACAATGGATTTAATTAATTGATTGTCTTTGTTCCCATCTAATTACTCTGGTTTGATTTACCTGGAGAAGGTTGCAGTCAACAAATAAATTTCGAAGACCAAAAAACATTGGCAATGTGGGGTCGACTAATCTAGGAGCAAGCAAATCCCATTTCGCATCGCTGCTTTTTCTCCATAACATTTATTTACATTTTACAAGATCAAATTTTGAATTAGTATATGCTTTTGTCCATTGTGCTGGACCGCTGGGGGATAAAAAATTAATACTGGTAAGGTCCACCAAGGAATAAGCAAATCCTCTTCCTTAATTCCAGCAAGGTCGACATGTTTGTTTGGAGCTGAAATTGCTAAAACATGAATTAGTATTTGGTGTACTTTTGGCAAATTAATGCTCCTTCGAAGCAAGTGAGAGTGCAATGATTGAGCATATCTCTTCTCCCACCACCACCCCCACCACCTAGAACATCCTGCTAATTTGGGCCTACTTTCGACTCTTCTTTTCCTTTCCACTTCTGTATGATTTTCGAAAAAATAACTATGCTTGTTCACTTGTCACTAACATGTTGCATGCAATAGACTAGCAATTAATGTGAGTGCTTGGTATCTTTTTGACAATCGCATCAAGTTGATTATGTATATATTTATTTAGAAATTTATCTGGTCTGTGTTCCAAGGAAGGATGAGAGTACAAATTCTTAGTACTTAGAAAAAGAAAAAAAAAGAAGAAATATTTGACAAATAATAAATATTCATGACCAAGGGCAATCAACTGGTTAAAGTTGGACCATTGAACTGTCCCAAGACAGAGACGAATCTTTTACTTAATCCATTCTACATGTGCACAGAAAGTGGTGTTGATGATCTTATTGTAACTAATTAAAAGGGAAGAATGAAACATTATTTTGCATCGTATCCAGGATATAACTATAAACAAATATTGACCCATTTTAAGCTTATAATTAATGTAATCATACGTCTACGTCAGTATGCATATATATATACACACACACGTATACTTTGATTCTCCATATACTCTAACGTTGTTTAATTAATAAAAAATTAATTTGCATATGTGATCCAGCACTCAGATGCATATAAACAATTTAGATTAAGGAATTAATAAACAAGTAATTCTTTCTTTAACTAATTTAGTCAGTATCTATATGTGGTTCTAAAAGTCATGTAGATACGTATGTCGATTTTACAGTTCAACCAAATAAATAAATAAATACGTAGATGAACGTTGACATTAACCCATGATCAGCTATGCATGGAGAAATATATTATTTCAAATGTTTTGTAATTGGTTGATCACCTTGATAAGGAGCATATTCTGGACAAAGAAATTAAATAAATCTAGCATAATTAAACGAGGTAGCAAACATATAAATGCAGGGGTAGTTTTCTTTTATTTAATTTGGTAGTGAGGGTTGGAAAGACTTGCTTCTCAAGTTTTGGGAAGAAATATGTCTTTTGACCTTAAAATTTTAAAAAAAAAAAAATGGAAGAGGAAGAAGAAGAAGATGGGGTGAACTTGGTCCCCAAGCCAACTTGTAGGACCGGTGGCTTCAGGGCACTGGTGGTGGTTTTTGCTCGTTTGACTTCATCAAAGCTGAAGTCATAAAACTGTTACCTCAAACAGTGAAACTGATCTCTTCAACATTTTGGTGACGTCTTTCGAAAATATAAAAATAAACTTGTAACCTATCAAGTGTTGGTTTGTAAAAAAATTAATATATCTAGATGAATTGAGACCACTTTTTTTTTTGCACGTGCCTTCAGATTAATTATTATTATTATTATTATTATTATATATACTTGGTCATCTTTGAAAATATATCACCACAAGATTATCATTTTCTTCACTATTCTTTGATTGCCGTTTTAGTGATCATAACCCCACCAACCTTGTACAAGAGTGGCACGATTGGTCTTGGACTTTTAAATATCTTTTTTTTTTCCCCATTATTGTTCTTGTTCTTATTTGGTCTTCTAACTGCTCTTGGTCTTAATTGATCACTCTTGGGCCGCAAGCTACTTTTTGTTTGTTTGTTTGTTGGCTTTCTTGGATACAGATAGACTAGTTAGACTTAGTACCGTTCATGGATTTGACCACAAGCTCGATTTTTCAGTTCAATGGAGGCCTTGTTGAATTTGAGCCTATATTAATTTAGATTATTTGCCTCTCCGTTAACTTTTTATTTAGTCTTCTAATTGTCAAAAAAAAAAAAATATATATCAACATGAAAATTTATATTATAATTTAAGTTATTAAGATAGGATTCTAAAATATAATTATATTATTTTTAACACAATTTTTCAAGTAAAAATCTTTTAAATTTTGCATACGTTCACTGCTATAATTTTAATAACAACAAATATATTTTAAAATATAATTTATATTATTTTTTAAAGATAATTATTTAAGTAATTTTTTTAAAAACATTTGCCCATACACACTATTATAATTTTAATTAAAAAAATTAATAATAAAATTTAAATTTGTAATCGTTTCGTCATTGAATTTCCGCTATCGTGTTAATGGCCAGGTATGCATATGGTCCCAACTTCAGAGTCCCACATTTGGAAGGAGTTGACTAAAGGTGGTTTTTCCCAAACGAAAGACAAAAAAGATTAAATGCAACAGGTAATTTTGACCCGACCGGTTAACCGGTGAAACATCGATATGCCGTCACTAGATGGCAAGCCTGGAAAATGTTCTCTCTCCTCTCAATCCCTCTTCATTTATAACAGTTCCAACTTCGAAGAAGGTTCCTTTGACGCCACTTCAGTAACCCAAAGATTTCCATTTCCTTTTCGTTCCCCTCTCTGCTTTGATGCTTATAAAAACACCAACCCACCACCTGATCACTTGAATTTCAAGAACCCTTTTCTCCTCTTCCTTCCCTCCTCTTCTTCACGGGTCTCTTCATGCCAAGGTGCGTGCACTACTAATTAAGTCCTTGTTTCTTTTGCTAGTTGCACGCCTTCAACTCTTTGCTATTTCTACCTTTCCTTCTATCAATTTGCTTCGTTAAAACTATTTATGGATATCTAAGGTGAAGAAATCTTTCTTGTTGGCCTTAGCTTCTTTAATTACTCCATTTGATATATCTGTATGTATTTTTTTCGTTTGTTAGTCCGTTACTTCATCAGTTTCTAATTACCATTTCCTTTGAGTCTGTGTCGCCTAATGTTTTAGATATTAAGGAGTTTTAAGTTCACAGCTGAGCTTTGTAGGTTTGACTTTTTTTGTTTGTAGGATTTTGAGGGGTAGGTAGATAGATCATGGATCAAAATTACACAGGATTCTCTGATTACCAAAATGATTCCCAATTTGATGAAACAATCGTGTTCCCATATTCAGATCAATACACAAATATGGAGCACGGACTTGAATTCAATATCCCTTCGCCCGATCTTAGCTTCCTGAATCTTCCTTTTGACCCCCCTGATCCAGTTCCTGATAATTTTGATCTATCCCTTAATTTGAGTCCGGAAGGAGAGTCATTTGTCCCTTCAATGAACTTGAACCCGGATGGAGGGGCACTTGATCCCTCATCGGCTTGGAGTCCCGAGGCAGAAGCCTCCTCTCCTTCCGAGGATAGTGATTCCTCTGACCCGCTTCTCAAGTACATAAGCCAGATGCTTATGGAAGAGAACATGGAAGATAAGCCACATATGTTTCATGATCACTTCGCTCTAAGCGCCACCGAGAAGTCATTGTATGATGCACTCGGTGGGCAGCATCTTCCCTCACACAATTCGCCGCTGTCTTATGTCAACCATGAGAGCCCTGACAGTAATATTTCGGGAAGTGGCAGTAATTGTGGTGATAATACCAGTAATAGCACTAGCACAAGCACTACCAGTGGTACTACTGATTCTGCTAAAGAACCTCAGTGGCTTGGTGGTGACGTCGACGTTGGAGGGTTGAATCCATATTTCTTAAGTACCTCTCTTCCTGGTGATAACCATCTCCAGTCCAATTTGCAGCCCAATCTGCAATTTTCAGTGAATCCATCGAATGGTTTCACCAATATGGGTGACAGCCTTATGGGTTCTTCTGCTGGTGAGATGGTGCAGAATATGTTTAGTGATATGGAATCTGTGTTGCAGTTCAACAGAGGGGTAGAGGAAGCTAGTAAGTTCCTTCCTAGTGCCAGTCAACTGGTAATTGATTTGGAGACAAATGCATCTTCCACATGGCAAAAGGAAGAGGCTCCTAGAGTGATGGTGAAGGAGGAGAAATCCGAGAGGGATAGCTCGCCTGATGGTTCGAGGGGTAGGAAGAATCACGAGCGAGAGGATTCAGATTTAGAAGAAGGAAGGTCTAATAAGCAGTCTGCAGTGTATGTGGAAGAGAGCGAACTATCGGAGATGTTTGATAAGGTATTGCTTTGGACTGGGGGTAAATGCTGTGGCGATGACGCTGACAGGGATGTAGCATGCAAGAGCTCGCAGCCAGATAAACAATCAAATGGATCCAGCGGTGGGAAAACCCGTGCTAAAAGACAGAACAAAAAGAAGGAAACAGTGGATCTGAGGACTCTCCTGATCCTTTGTGCACAAGCTGTCTCTGCCAATGACTTCAGGACTGCTAATGAGCTACTGAAACAGATTAGGCAGCACTCTTCTCCTATTGGCGATGGGACTCAGAGATTGGCTCATTTCTTCGCCAATGGTCTTGAGGCACGCTTGGCTGGTAGTGGCAATGGAGCCCCAAATTTTTTCTCTTCCATTACATCAAAGAGGACAACAGCTGCTGATATGTTGAAAGCTTACAAAACTCAGCTTCAAGCCTGTCCCTTCAAGAAACTTTCAATTTTCTTTGCAATCAAAACGATTTTGCATGCTGCTGAGAAAACAACTACTCTCCATATTGTAGATTTTGGTGTCCTCTATGGCTTTCAGTGGCCATTTCTTATCCAGCAACTCTCTCTGCTACCTAATGGCCCCCCAAAGCTACGCCTTACAGGAATAGAGCTGCCCCAACATGGTTTCCGGCCATCAGAAAGAATTGAGGAGACAGGACGTCGCTTGGCCAAGTATTGTGAGCGTTTTAAGGTCCCATTTGAATACAATCCTATCATTGCACAAAACTGGGAAAAAATCCCAATTGCGGACCTCAAGATAAATAGAAATGAGGTGCTTGCTGTGAATTGTATATGTCGGTTCAAGAATCTATTCGATGAGACAGTTGAAGTGGACTGCCCAAAGAATGCCATTCTTAACTTAATTCGGAAGATGAATCCTGATATTTTTGTTCATACTATTATCAGTGGATCATACAATGCTCCCTTCTTCCTCACACGGTTCCGGGAGGCACTATTCCACTTCTCTTCATTATTTGACATGTTTGATTCTACTTTACCTCGGGAAGATCAAGAGAGGATGATGTTCGAGAGAGAATTCTATGGGCAGGATGCAATGAATGTTGTAGCATGTGAGGGTCAGGAAAGGGTCGAGAGGCCTGAGACATACAAGCAATGGCATGCCCGGACCGTGAGCGCAGGATTCAAGCCTCTCCCATTGAACCAGGAGCTCATGACAAAGTTTAGGGGTAAGTTGAAGACCTGGTATCACAAGGATTTTGTAATTGATGAAGACAACTGCTGGATGCTGCAGGGATGGAAGGGTCGAATTATTTATGCTTCCTCCTGTTGGGTGCCTACATAGGAGTGTTGAACAGCATTTGAACTTGGAATGGGGAGCTATAAATTTCTTCAAGAGCTGGACAGAGTAACAAATAGTTTCGAATCAGGCAAAGGTATAAACGCCTTGTGAATTTTAATCTATTCTATACCCTCCTATCTTATGATCTGACAATTTTTATCCATGTAAGTTAGTTTAGTGCGTCTAACTTAGAACATTTCCCTGGTGCTGCTTTAATGTGTCATTCAAATGCAAGGCAGAAAGCACAAGAGGTTCTAACTTTGCTATTTCCATGTTTTCAGGTAATCTGAGGGGCTACCTAGCTATTGAGGAGAAGCTTATGAAGTTTTAGACTTACGGTTGTAATTTCTGAACCATCATCATCCTTATGTATGTAAAAAATTCGATGGTTGATGGCTTGTTCGTCTTGGTCTGAAGCCTGTTTGGACTGTAGGATTTCAGGAGTGAATGTGCTTACAGGGAGCTTTCGGAACAAGTACGAACCTTCTTATGGTTAAAGGGTGTGGTTTTTGTTGGGAAATTCTGTAATCAAGTCATGTAGTTTTTGTCTAGATGATTTTCCACTTTGGAGTGGTTATCAAAGGGGTTTTGAGACCCAGTATTTTTATACATATATGGATATGGATCTTAGTACAGCTTATCTGAATATCTAATGAATCAATGAACGTGAATTTTTCAATAATTTATTCCCTTGAAACTGATCTAAATGGTTGTTTTGTTTCTGCATATCTTGGCTGAATAAATACTGAATCAAAATAAATAAAAGTTTAGGATCTCATTGATTTTTGTTATTACATGCTGTTCTATCGATGTGCTACAGTTGCTCCGTTGCATGATCCAATCTCATTTCCGCTATCTTTTTCACATATTCATCAGTCTGATCCAGAAAATATGAAATGATGTCTTTTTTCTTTCGACGAATCATTTTTTTTTTCCTTAAATGAAGAACCCAAAGACTAAAGGGGGCAGGATCAAGCCCTGTAATGATCAATTGCTCACGGCTGATTATAATAGAAGACAAAAAGCTGTGAGCTGTGATTCACTGATTCAAGTTTATGGACTTCTATATTAGTGGCGAATGGCTACATATAGCCAATGGATAGTCACTTTGATTTAAAATATGGAAATAAGCATTGCAGAGTTCATGGTTTCGTGCAACTGATTTAATAATTTTCTTTTTCTTTTAAGAGTAATTAAATAAAGTTTCTTTACCTCTCCAGGGAACAAATGAATAATTTTGCTTATAAAAAACAAAACTAATTTTATGTTGAAAATTCTAAACTTAATTATTTTTGGAATTATTTATGAGTTAATTGCATATTTAAGGCTTAAAATTTATATATTCTTTTTCCATTTAATTTTTTGTATTTTTTGTATTTTTTTCTATTTAATCTCTTATATATATATATATATATATATATATATATATATATCAAATGCTTCCATTAGATTGCGGCATTTATATATCGAAGTGGCAGGTGTCGGTTATTCTCAAGGACGGGACAACATCTAAATTCTAGAACAGACTCTACTCGATGGAATGAACTTAATGGGACGTAGGGTGATTGGGAAAAGAATTGTTAATATGCGGAATACCTTTCTTTCATATATTCTAATCATATATATACAAGATACAAGGACCTATACATGATAAATAGATCAAACCTACAACTGTGTGTATATTCCTAATTTAAGAGAAAACTATATATGAAATGTACATGATAGGAGATAGGAAAGAATACAGCTCATTCCCGTTAACTCTCCCCTCAAGTTGGGGCGTAGATATCCCACATGCCCAACTTGGATAGCGAAGTATAGAATGGCCCACTAGCGACACCAAGAGTCATAATATCGACCAACCGATCCGAACTTCTAGTATAAGGAATCTCTATTGTGCCGAATCGAGATTATCTTTGATATAGTTTCGTCAAGTTCAACATGCTTAGTTCGATCATGTTGCATTGAATTATTAGCAATCTCAATAGCTGCTTTGTTATCACAAAACAACACCATAAGCTTCTTCGGACCAAACCCGAGTTCTTTTAAGAGGATTTTCAACCAAAAAAGTTCGGTGATTGCATGATGCATAGCACAATATTCAGCTTTCGCATTTGATAATGAAACCACATTCCGTTTTTTACTTGTCCAACTCACCAAGTTGCCACCAACAAACGATAAATATCAAGAAGTAGATTTTCTATCCAATCTACTACCAAAGAAATCGTAGTCCGTATAACCCATAACATCAAGATGTCCATGTTTGAAAAATAAGACACTTTTACCCGGAGCTGATTTTAAATAAGCCAAAATTCGATTTACGACATTCATGTGTTGATCACTTGGATTGTGTATAAACCGACTCACAATGCTAACTCGCATAAGCTAAATCTAGCATTGTGTGAGTTAAATAGATCAACTTTCCCACTATCCTTTGATATCTCTCCTTATTTGTTGGAATTTGATCAGGATAAATAGACAAGCCATGATTTACCTCAATAGGAGTATTTATAGGCTCACAAGCGAGTTATTAGTTTCAGCAAAGAGATTTAGAGTATACTTCCTTTGGGAAAGAAACAGGCCTTGCTTAGATCAAGAAACTTCAATGCCTAGGAAGTATTTGAGAAGCCCCAAATCCTTTATCTCAAATTCTTTGGTTAAATAGCTTCGAAGTTTCTCAATCTCATCTCTCGTTATCGCTCGTTACAATCATATCATCAACATAAACAAGAAGCAAGGTAATATCATTATGATCCCGTTTATAGAACAAGGTATGATCTTCCAAGGCTTGCTTGAATCCATACTCCTTTATTGCATGACTCAACCTCCTAAACCATGCCCTCGGTGATTGCTTTAATCCATAAAATGTTTTTTTTAGTTTGCATAGCTTTCCTTCTTTCGGTGTAAATCCCGGGGTGGATTCATAAATACTTCCTCTATCATATCACCATGAAGGAAAGCATTCTTCACATCAAACTCGTCATAGAGGCCGACCCAAATTAACCGCAAGTGAGAGTATGACGCGAACAAGTATCATCTTGGCAACCGGTGTAAAAGTCTCTCGATAGTCAATATCATAGGTTTGGGTCTAGCCTTTTGCGACCATTATACCTTTGTATCTTTCCATCGTCCCATCCGGCTTGTATTTAATAGTGTATACCCATTTACACCCCTACGGTCTTTTTCTCACTCGGTAAATCGACCATTTCTCAAGTAGAATTCTTTTGGAGAGCCATCATTTCATATACCATTGCATCTTTCCACTTAGGATTTTTGAGGGCTTCCCGAAAATGACTAAGAATAGGTATAGAAGACAACCGAAGAGCAAATGTTAAGTTAGTTTTAGACAAACGATGATAAGATATAAAGTCAAAGATTGGGTAAACAACATTGGAGGTTTTTGAGAAACCGAATCTATCGGTTGCTTTTCTTTCACAAAGAGGATATCTCCTATTCCGATCAATATTAGAATTGAGATTGGAATTTTTAGAAGATTCGAAAGAATAAATGCATACCTCAATGTCGATCTTAGAAGATTCATCCGATGGCATGGTAGTATCATCAAGGGAGGCATTAGAATTAGGAGGCGTAACAATGATATCTTCCTTTCTCCTAGAATAACCCTTCTCAAAGAAATGTGCTCGGTCTCTTAGGTTTCTCATCATCTAGTTCAATTTTATTTTCCTCAACAAAAAGATCATCTAAAACTAAGGATTCCCTATTTATTTTAATGTTATATGTACCCGAGGGCCATATGTATTTTTCTCTCAACCATAGTTGTTCATCTTCTTTACTACCAATCTCCCCCGAAGAGGAACCATAGATATATCGCCGTAAAAATAGGACTCATTTTCACAAAATTAAACATCCATCGACACATAATAGCTTCATGTGGGAGGATGAAAACATTTGTATCCTTTTTATAAATTAGAATAGCCAAGGAACACACATTTGATAGCATAAGGATCAAGTTTATCTCTATAAAGAGAATGAATATGAACATAGCGTACAATCGCCAAAAATCTTAGGATAAATATTAAGAGCGAGATAGAATATGATGAAATCTAGATAACATCCTTAAAGGAGTTTAAAAATTAAAAATCCTAGCAGGCATTCGATTGATAAGAAAAACAATAGTCATGATAGCTTCAGCTCAAAAACGTTTTGAAACATGCATAGTAAAACATAAGGCTCGAGCCACTTCAAGGAGATGGCGATTCTTACGTTCTGCTATGCCATTTTTTTGGGGTGTGTAAACATAAGTTTTCCGAGAAAGAATGCCATGTTGTGTCATAAACTTAGCAAGAGATTGATTCACAAACTCACGACCATTGTCGAATGAAAAACTTTAATTTTAGTGTTAAATTGGGTGAGAATCATGTTGTAAAACCGAGGAATAATATAGGGAACATCACTCTTAAATTTCATCAAATATACCCAACCGACCCTAGTACAGATCATCAATAAAAAAGATAAAATACTTATGTCCCGAAGCAAAAGTAGTGAAAGGACCCTATACATTAGTATGAACACATAAAAAGGAGTAGTGCTTTTATTAAAACCGACTTTAAAAGAAACACGATGGTTTTTAGCATAAATGCATTGTTCACACTTTAAACTAGAAATAGAAATGTTGAAAAATAATTGAGGAAACAATCGCTCTAAATAAGAAAAAGATAGATGTCCCAACCAACAATGTTAAAGCATAATTCTCTCTCTATCGATTTTTCTCTCTTTGTTTGAAAGCCACAAGGAGGTGCTACTATGCCTCAATTGTCCTCCAAATAATACGTACCATCCCTCTCTTTACCAATGCCAATCATCATCTTCGTAAGATTGTCCCGAAACACACAATAAGTAGGGTGAAAAATGATAGAACAATTTAGATTTTTTGTTATCTTGCTAATAGAAAGAAGGTTGTTTGAAAGTCTAGGTGCAAGTAGAACGGAGGACATAGAAAATGCTCGGAGAAAGAGACACATTTCCAGCCCTCGTGATTGGCATAG